AATAAACAATAATAATAAATAATCAACTCGGGTTCATGAGTGATAGATTCTGCTTCACAAACTTGATTTTGTTCTGTGACAAGGTAACTTGCTTGGTAGATGAAAGTAAGGCTGCCAATGTGGTCTGTCTGGACTTCAGTAGAGCCTTTGACACTCTCCCTCATAAGACCCTCATGAGAAGCTGGCTGCCTGTGATTTGGATGGGCATATGCTTGGCTGGGTGAAACAGTGGCTGGTTGGCCAGGCCCAAAGAATTTTGAAGTTAAATCAGTTGGTGGCTGGTCATGAGTGGTGTCCCCCAGGGTCTGGTTCTCGGGCAACTTGTAGTTAACATCTTTATTAATGATCCTGATAAGGGGATGCAGTGCACCCTCAGTAAGTTCGCAAACGACTCCAAGCTGGGACGGAGTGTTGATCTGCCTGGGAGAAGAAAGGGATAGACTGGATCAATGGGCCAAGGTAAACTGTATGAGCTTCAATAGGGCCAAGTGTTGAGTCCTGCATTTTGGTTTCAGCAACCCCATTCAACCTACAGGCTTAGGGAGGAGTGGCTGGAAAGCTGCTTGAGGGAAAGGGACCTTGGTGTACGGATGGACAGTTGGCTGAACATGAGTCAGCAGTGTTCCCAAGCAGCAAAGAAGGCCAAGGGCATCCTGGCTTTTATCAGAAATGTTGTGGTGAGCAGGACTAGGGAAGTAATCCTGCCCCTGTACTCCATACTGGTGAGGCCCCACTTCAAGTACTGTGTTCAGTTTTGGGCACCTCAATTACAGAAGGGACATGGAGGTGCTGGAGCAGGTCCAAAGAAAGGTAACAAGGCTTGTGAAGGGCTTGAAGAATATGCCCTATGAGGAGAGACTGAAAAAACTGGTGATGTTTTGTCTGGGAAAGAGGAGGCTGAAGAGATGTTATTGCTCTCTTCAAATACCTGAAAGGTGATTGCAGCAAGAGAGGGGCTGGTCTCTTCTCACTGGTGACAGGAAGAGGGAAAATGCCTTCAGATTGCCCCAGGGAAGATTTAGATTGGATACTGAAATAACTTCTTTACTGAAAGGGTTGTTAAGCACTGGAATAGGCTCCCCAGGGAGGTGGTTGAGTCACCATCCCTGAATGTGTTTAAAAATTGTTCAGATGTGGTGCTCAGGGACATGAATTAGCAGCGGGGACATGATTTAGCAGCGGGTTGTTGGAGGAGTGTGGTTAGGTTGTGCATGGACTTGATGATCTTTATGGTCTTTTCCTAACTGAGTAATTCTATGATTCTATACTCCCACTAGAAGGTCTCCTTCCTCTGCCTTCTCTTTAACCCTAACCCGTCAGCTCCACATCTATCCCCAAGTGGAGCTCCATGGACTCCAGGTGGTCATTGATGTAGAGGGCAACACCGCCCTGATGGAATTCTAGGCCCAGGGCATCCATTACCATCATCAGATGGATCCCCTCCCCCAGCAACTCTACTTTAAGCTCTCCTGATTCCATTGGAAAACTTGCTGCCAAAGCTGGTCTTCCCCTTGTCTGGCAGATGCACCCAATCCTGCCCCAAAAGACCAGATTTCTCAAAGCTAGTTCCATGGCGTAAGTAACCAAAGCCTTGTTCATGACACCACTCCCTTAACCATTTATTGATATTCATAATTCTCTCAGCCTTTCCCCTCTCCATTTCCCTAACCTGGAAGATTGATGAGAAGATTACTTATGCTCCCAAGTTCTTTGGTGCTGCCTCTAGCTTCTTGTAGTCCCTCTTTATATTCTTCATATTCTTCAGTGACAGCTGTGTCACTGGTGCCTGTGTGATGTACAAGGTCTGGTAGTTTCTCTGTCACATCCTTGATTCAGGTTCCAGGCAAGCAGCAGACCTCTCTAGATAGCAGGTCAGGATGACTAATGTGTGTCTCTGTACCCTTCAAAAGAGAATCACCCATCACTATCGCCTGTCACTTTTTCTTAGTCACAGTAGTTGTTATGTAGGGAGGAGCAGGCCTGGCTGCCTTACTCTGTTCTGACTACTTACCTGTTAGTGTTTCTTTTTCCTTCTCAGCCTGGAGAACCGTGAAGTGGTTCTGCAGAGGCACCTCAGCATTGAGGCAGACTTTTTTCTCGTGTTCATCTTTCTCGTGGCAATTTGCCATCTCTCATCATTCTTGTCTACCAAGTGGGAATATGCCAGTGGGGGAATTTTGGGCTGTTTGGTCTAAGACAGTGAATTCAATATAGGCTCCACGTGAATGCGGCTGATTCTCTATTTCTGCCTCCCTGTTGGCACACAGACTTTTGACTGTCCTCTCAGTTCAGTCAGCTGCTGCAAGAGGTCCTCCACCTGGGCACAGCTTACACACATGAGTTTGCCACTCTCTGCTTCAGGAGAAAGATCCAGACACTTCCCACAGATCACAGGTCTGCACAGATGCATCTTCCTTCAGCTGCTCTGTTTAAGTGTAGTGTCTGGTTACGTGGGGGTTGGTGGTGCATACCACCTACCAGAGCTGTAGGCTTAGCTTGGCATCAAGTTCTCACTATACTGCTTTTAGGGTAAGTTGGAGTGAGTGCCCCTCGCTTCTGAAGATTGCAGAGACTTAGTGCCCTGCCGTGTGACCTACTGCTCTGGCTGTTAAGCACACCATATGTGTGCAGGTGACACCCATGCTCTGTTTGCCTGCCCTGCAGGCTAGTCATTGTTTTCCCTGAGGCTTCTTTTAGAGGCATGGGTGTGGTCTCCGTTGCCCTGGCAATGCCTATGCCACATCAGCCTCTCTCACAAGTGGTGGCCATTGCTGTAGAGTCATTCTGCTTTCTCAGTGTTTCCCTGGCAAAGGAAACCCCCTATATCCCTTTGTATCTTGAAATCAGTTGCTCTGGTTCTGGCCAGTCCGGCTCCAAAGCAGCTGCTCTTGAGAACTGTCATCTCTTTGTAGTCATACAAGAGGTCACTGACATAATTACACTGAGTGTATATCTTTGCATGGTCAGATAAATGAAACATAAGATACTTAGATCGAGTTAAGAAAAAGTCAAAAGCCCAAAACTCTTTCAAAATGCTTGTTCCTATGTTATAAAGACAAAACAAAACATATCTATTAGAACAAATGAACACAGCCCAAGTAAACCATAGAAACTGTTGCAAAAAGATACATACTTCCATCATTGTTTCCTACATCAAGTAAACAGATAGAATCATCTACTTTTTGTTCAAGTTGGAATCAATTAGCTGCAATCTGGAAAACAGTGTTCACTTCCTAAGAGCATTATTCTCTTGACTAAGAGTTGAAGCAGGAGTTTCAAAAATACCAATTAATGATAATGTGGTAACCCTAAGAAATATTGACACATTTTTTGTTCAGTTTCAACTTGAAAGACATTGCACACAGAGAGCTACTTGCTTAGATCTATTCACTGAAGTGCTAATGAAAGAGAAAAGAAGATGTAGTTGCTGTTCTAATGTACACTCAGGTATTCTCTCCCTTTGATATTGAGTGGTTACACTAAGTTATGACATTATTAATCTATGGCAGCAAGGTAGGCCTTTAAATATATATATATATATATATATATATATATATATATATATATATATATTGCTAAAACCTAGCTGACAGAAGATTCTTGAATAATTTTCAAGGAAAAGAAAAAATGCCTAAAACTTTTTTTTGTCTTTTTTTTTTTTTTCCTAGTAATTTAAATACATTTATGGACTACATCTCTCAGAGAAATCCTGATTATGAAAAGGGTAATTTTCATTACAACCTGGCTACTTGAAGAAAGCCAGGATAAAAAACAAAATGTTAAAATGCAGGTTGTTAGATGTTACTTTAGAATTTCAGAAAAATGAGAAATAATCAAATGTGTCAAATAATACACAGCATGCAAGAGCCAATTGTGGAAATAAGTGCCCAAGGTTAGATTGCTAAAATATTTTTAATGCAATAAATATTAAAATCAATGTATTCCTTGTCCAGTATGTGGCTATCACAAGAATTAAAGAGCTCAATTTTTTTTTTTGTAATCACCATCTAACTGTTCTGTTATAAGACCTACATTTCCCTGTAGGACTTAACTTCCTATAGGACTGTAACTGCAAAGACCTCCAAAAGTCCAAATCTACTTTGAACATTTGTGTAACTTGATTAAGAGATCAAAGGTGGAACAATTAGTTTTTATACACGTTCAGTTGAAAATAATTGACAAAATAAACTCATATTGCTGCAGCACTTTGCAGAAGAAAATCTTTCTGTCGAGCGTACCTCACTTCATTCTAATGGAAGCTTAAAAGTGCTGTACTGTAATTACATGTGTTTAGGCTAGAAATCTCTAAAACAAACAAACAAACAAACAAACAAAAAAAAACATAGCTCCCATTCCATTTTTATTTTTTGCTATTATTTCCATTTGAACTGTCATTTTGTTTTATCTGAAAAGCTATATCTAATGAAAATAGACAATGTTTTAGCACAAAAAAATTCAGCTAAATTTCAGATATCATTCAATTTTTTAAAAATCTAGGCAGATTTGCTGCTTGAGTAATGCTATAGAAAATACATTACTGCATTCAACATGAATTTAAATGTTTATTTTAAGGACAAATATTATATTCTATTTTACTAAACCTCTATTTTTGTAATTGATTTGTTTATTTTGTATGTATTTTGACAATAAACTTTTAAGTGAATGAATTATATCAAAATGCGCCTTTTGTTTTTCTTCTCCCAGATTTCTAGAGGACTGAGACCTGTAACCACTAACTCCAATGACAAGGTTCATCTAGTCTTGTCACTTTCTCCTTATTTAGCCATTTACTCTGCAAATATAATTAAAATGTAACACTTTCAAGCTCAGAAAAAAATAAAATAATGAGCAGACCTGGTTTAGTTTTACTAGCCTCTAAATGATACATAAAGAATAATCAGTAATTCATTAAAATATGTAATGTAAATGTAAACATAATGTATGTAAAATATGTCATAAGACATAGATATCCACTGTATAAGTTTTAAATAGATCTCAGTGTGTGGAATAATATTATTACCTGGTCTCATAAAAACATCTCCAGCATTAGGTAAGAGAGCGACTTAAAATTGCCATATTTGATTTTGTTAGTTTAATATTTTTGCCAGAATTGCTGTATTCTACAGTTCACTGGGGTTATATTAGTACCGAATCACAGAATCATAGAACTATGGGGGCTAGAAGGTCATCGAGTACAATGCCCCTGCAAAGCAGGTCCCCCAACAGCAGTCTGCACAGGTAGGTGTCCAGGTGAGTCTTCAGTATCTTCAAAGAAGGAAAATCCACAACCTCCTGGGCAGCCTATTCCAGTGCTCCGTCAAAATGTATTAGACAGACACTAGGAGAATACCTGTAAAGCAAACATTTATTTTTCTTGTTTTATATATATATATATATATATATATATAAATTATAGAATCATAGAATCACTCAGGTTGGAAAAGACCTTAGAGATCATTGAGTCCAACCATGACCTAACCGTACTACCTTAATTCTAACAACCCTCGGCTAAATCATGTTCCTGAGCACCACATCCAAATGGTTTTCAAACACATTCAGGGAATGTTTACTTACTTTCACGTAGTCTAAAAATTTTATTGCCTGTAAAGAAGATGACTTTCTACTTGTATCTCAGAATTTAGAAGTAAACCAAAAAGCATATGGAACTGGCAATAGACATGAAAAAAAATATATATAAAAATAAAATCCATTAAGTAAAAGAGCCATATCTTCTGAATCATTATGGCTTCCAAAGCAGTATTACATTACATATTTGTTGAAGAAAAAGAGAATCTTTGAATTCTTTGAGCTTCTGAGTACCTGATGAATATACAGGGGTTATACTGCATATAAAACTAATTAAATATAATACAAATTTATTTCCAAGCTTACTATATAATGATAAACACCAGAATCAATCATTTTATTTCATGTTAGCACTTATGATTTTAGCATATGTAGTTTTAAACACATGCCAAAAAAAAAAAAAAAAAAAAAAAAAAAAAAGATTTAACGTGGTCATAAAGCTTGACACACCTCAGTTAACAGATGGTAGCAGTCTCATTTCCACGTCACTGTGAACAAGAATCATTTGCAACCCAAAATCTCCCTTTTTGAGATAGTAGCTATACTCTGAAAAAAAGAAAAAATAAATAGCAAATAATTAAATATTTCTTTAAAAATTATAATAATAAAAAACCCTACATTGAAAAAATATCCATTATATTTCATACATCAGTTAGCAGAAGCAATGTTCACTTCCATGTGTAAAATCTCCTATATACTATAGCTTGCTTTTATGTATTTAAGTAACAAACCACCATTACTTCTTCTGGTTTTACAAAGAAAATAATAGATTACACCAAGAGTGGCACTGTCATTTTTCTTCTTTTAACTCAGACAATTTATAACATCATGTCCATTGCAGAGAAAAATATCTCCAATTGTTAAATAGCTCATATCTTGATTTCTTCTTTCCCTCAGCTTTCTGAACAAAATGTATGCTCATCTTACATTTTTCTGTTTTCACTTAACGTTTCTTACAAAATAACATATTCAAAAAGTCTATTAATCTTAATGCTTCAAAAGATCTTCTGAGCTAAGGTCAAAAAAAAAATGCCTCCAGAAGCGGTCTGATATTAACTTCAGTTGGGTCATTTATTTACTGCTCTTTCTCTGAAACACTTGATGCAACACATATGGGAAGCATGATAACCATTCTAAGGATGTTGAGTGATACTATTTTTAAATTATAGAGTAGGCTTCTGAATACAGAGATTTTATTAGTTTGTTTTACGTGCTGAGGGCAAAGACTGTTTGTACTGTATTCTTTTAATAAGACAAGTGATAATTTTATTATCTTGTTTTCTTTGTGTTCTGAGTTTCTATAAGCTAATATTTTCTTTAATGAAAACAATCACATCAAACCAGATAAAGTTCTGATTTTCTGAGTCTGAGGAAAAAAGTTTTTTCATGCTAAAGATGAGTAACATATGTATCCTATAGAGTAAGCGTAATATGGTTAGGTTGCTATGATCTTTAAGGTCTTTTCCAACCTGAGTATTTCTTTTTTCATAGAGGAGGTGCTCCAGACCTCTGATCATATTAGTGGCCCTCCTCTGGACTCACTCCTACAGCTCCACATCTTTCCTTTATTGAGGGCCCCAGACCTGGACACAGTACTCCAGATGAGGCCTCACAAGAGGGCCCCCAGGGTAGAGAGAGACAATCATCTCCCTGTCCTTGATGACCGCCCCTCTTCCAATGGAGCCCAGGATACTCTTGGCTTTCCCAGATGCAAGAGCAAACACTGCTGGCTCAAGCTTTTCATCCACCAGGACCCCCAGGTCCTTCTCTGCAGCGCTACTCTCAAGGAGCTCTCCCAGTCTGTATATGTATCTGAGATAACTCTGACCCAAGTGCAAAACCTTGCATTTTGCTATGTTGAACCTCATTAGATTCACACAAACCCACCTTTCAAGTTAGCTGAAGTCCCTCTGGATTGCATCCATTCCTTGTAACATGCCAATCATGCCATTCAGTTTGGTGTCAATCAGCAAACTTGTTGAGGGTGCACTCACAGCCATCATTGATGTCACTGATGAAGATGTTGAAGAGACATCATGTGAGAAGGAGAGTTCATATTGAGGTACCAATACTTTGATATAAACTAATTAGAGAAAAAAAAAAAAAGTTATTTTTGTTTCAGAAAGGTATTGCTATATTATAGGTACTGAATTATTTAACAGAGCTTGATAGTAAATTTTTCTTGGACAACTGAAACTATCCATTGAAAAATAATTGAAAAATAGATTTAATAGCCATATGCAGATGGCAAGTGCAAAATCTCTTTAACTGCAAAAAAAAAATATTATTTATATGTATTTTGTTTTGCTTAGTTTGTTGTTTTTTTTTTAAATTATTTCTATCCATAATATAGAAATCTGATTTAAGCAGAAGTTAAACTGTGATTCAAACGAAGGAAAAGAAAAGAGAAGAGAAGAGAAGAGAAGAGAAGAAAAGAAAAGAAAAGAAAAGAAAAGAAAAGAAAAGAAAAGAAAAGAAAAGAAAAGAAAAGAAAAGAAAAGAAAAGAAAAGAAAAGAAAAGAAAAGAAAAGAAAAGAAAAGAAATCATCTCCAAAAGGCAACAATAATAAAACCATTTTTAACTGATTTATTATTCTTGATGAAAGATTTAGACCAATTCTTCCAGTGTTTTTTTGTTTCCCACTATTATAATAGACAAAATATTCTCATTATATTTTCAAGTGTTTGCTCTTATTTTTATTACAGGACAAGTGTTGTGCTGTATTTATAATACAATTTGATGTCCTTCATACCGGTAAACTGTCCCTAGCTTTTACACAATACTCATATTTCTAAGTATGTAATGTAATCTACCCAACCTCCATTCAGAGAAATGTGATTGCATTAAAGAAGAGCTGTTTTTGTCTCTTCTCTTAAACAAAAATTGGTAGGACAAGATAAAATGGCCTTAAGTTGCACCAAGTCAGTTTAAGTAGAAAATTAGGAAAAAAGAGTTGTGAAACATTGGAGCAAGCTGACCAGAGATGTAGTTGAATCACCATCCCTGGAGGTATTTAACAGTTATGAAGATTAGGTACATGGTTTAGTCGTAGATTTGGTAATGCTAGGTTGATGATTGGACTTGATGATCTAAGACATTTTTTTTCAATCTAAATGATTCTATTTCCTGGTGCATATCTCTGAAGGAAGGTAAGAGTAAATGACCAGGTTATCTTCCTCTTTGGTTATTTTTTAATCCAAAAAATCACTACTATTTTCTAATTTATCTGTTTAACTTCAAGTCCTGTTACAAGGACTAATTTTAATACCAACATGTCTCTTGTTTGCTTAAAGAATGTATAAATTTGTTCTAATTTTCTCCATCCCCCCTCAAAAATGATGTGTCAGGATTACACAATAACTCATTAAAACGTGTAAGAATCTAAATATTCAGTAAGTGAGTTTTAAATAGATCTCAGAATGTGGATTAATATTATTATCTGTTCTCATATAATTGTTCAAACAAAGCAACTTAAAGTTGATCACATTTGATTTTTTTTAAATTTATTTTCCTCTCATTCTTTTGCCTGAATTCTAGTATTAAGTATTTTATCTTGTAAATAATTCATTGAGTTTATCTTAGTGCAAAACTTATTCCAGAAAGAATTTGGAAATTTAAAGCCAAATATACATAATGAAAGACAGAATACCTTACAACACATTCATTGTTGCATTTATAGAAACATTAGATGCCTCAGAAACTATGGCATTCTAGGTTATTATAGGTATATCAGCATTTTTGCAATTAGCAAGCAGAGGTCAATAGTGAATGCTGAAAATCAGTGCAACTTTTATATTATTCATAATCATAACCTCATGTATGGTTTATGTGAAGTAGTCCAAAAATATATTTGTGAGAACCAAACACTAACTATGAAAAAATTAAAAAATATATGCTGCAAAAGTAAAGAGATGTGATTATTCAAATAATTCAGATTCAGTATCATCAAAGCTATACTTATGTTTTAGGTTATCATATGTATGATAAAGTATCATACATATGATACATACATATATGTATCATAAAGTATTGAATTCTCATAATGCACAATTTTTTAACAAAAGAAATATGCCTCTGTGAAACTTTTTAGGACTAATGTCTGCCCTAATGCTACCTTATATGCATGAAAGAAAAATTTAAACATCTGTACTCTTCTTCAGCTATGATAACGTAAAATCACAATGTTTATAGATTTCTTCATTTCAAGCAATATGCTAAATATGACAGGAAAATAAATGAAAAATTTGTCACTGTAATATATACCCCCCCACACACCCCTTTTTTTTTTTTTTTTTTTTTTTTTTTTTTTTTTGCTATATTATCAAGCTACTAAAAACCAGAAGTTGGGAAGTTATCAGAAACTTGGGATTACATGTAAAACTCAAAGTCAAATTTTTACTCAGTTTTTAGTTAATCATTCAGAGAAAGGCTTTTTGGGTAACTTAGTTTTCTGGAGGGAGTCGTGAAATAGATCTAAAACAGTTGATTGCCCTTTATGGATAGTATGTTTGAAATTTATAACATATAAATTTAGAAGTCTGAAAAAGAGTCATCTGGCTTCCCTTCATATCTCATTCAGAGAAAGAGATACTTCTAGCTTAATGTGACCTGTTTAAACCAGCTCCCATTCATCTGTGCCAAGGAAAAAAAAAAAAAAAAAAAAGCAAAGAAAAGTAAGGAAACAGCTTGTTGTAGGTCATATTCTGGGTTACTGCATTTGGGCCAAGTGGATAGCAATCCAAAAACTTTGTGGAGTGTCACTGACTATACTATTTTGTCTGAACTATTAAGGCAGACAGCATTCCCTGTAGCACATCTGGCAGAAAGAATAATGATAGACTATTACTGGATCTCGTAATATAAACTCTATAACATCACTGCTGTGATTTAATGAATCAGGAACAGGCATAAACGTTATGTGGTTAACATCTTATTTGAAACAGATTTCAAAATTATTTGATTAGAAAGAAAATGCTGTACACTATGCTGTTATAAAATTGTTCAGTTTCACAGTCATCAAGATTTTCCTTTGAATTATGGGATCAAAGTAGATAAATATATTTGTCATATTGATTTTTTATTTTAGCTAATATTTGATTTTGTAGCAGATGACAGTATCAATTAGAAAATTCTCAAAACAATTTCAGTAGTAAGAGGTTTAGTTACCTTTTTGCTATGGCATCAGAAATGTTGAACAAACAAATAAAGAACAAACTTCCTATATTTTGTTATGAGAAACTATTTATTCAATTTTTTGTCCTGTGATCATTGTATTCATCCACTCTTTTCATTATTTCTTAGTCATATACCCCTACAAATTTGGTATGTTTTCCATTTTCCTTAAACGTGCTTATATCTGGTTACAAATTAAGCAAAATTTTATGTTAAAGACAAAATAAAATCAATTCAGGCTGTGTTTGTACTATTAGGTTGCTGGCATGTACTCTTAGATCCTGGTCTCCTGATTGCCAGTGCAGGAAGGAATTTGTCATAGTCCCTTACCATATGTCTGTCTCAAGAAACAGAATGAGATGTAGCCATGAGATACAGGAAAGAGAGAGAGAAAACTGACGATGAATGCACTGATGTACCTCTTTTGGAGTATGTACGGCCACAACATGAGCTGAAAGGAATTCAGAAGATTTTCCATATCTGGCAGATTTAATCTGATGTAAAATACTCTGGTCACAAATCTCTTGATTCTTTAACTATAGTCACAGGCAAAAATGGTGAGGTTTATGAAATGAAATAAGAAGTTTCAGGATACTCTAAAATATTTTTCTAAATGTCGGTAATACCTAGTATTCCGAGAAGAGAAGCAGTGTGCATTTTTATGTTTCTCTGTGAAGACTATATAAGCTGAGGATCTTGTCTTAGAATTGTAATAGAAATGCAACAGACATTACAGAAGTCCAAAGTGGCAAAGCATCTACTCCTTGGAAGCAAATAGAAACATAGTTCGCCATCACACAATTTGGGTATTTATAATAAAGAAAGAATACTGTGATTGATTTGTATAATTGGGTGAAATGTATGGTCTACTGATCTGACTAAATGATTTAACAGTCCCTCTGGCCTTAGAATGTAATTGAAGACTATATTTAAGTTGTTAGTCTGATCAGTCTAGTATGATTTCAACAATAACAAAATATTAATGCCTTCAGAAAAAAGAATACTTATCTCAAACCAAATCTAACAGTATGAGTATTATTCTATGTATGAAACTTGGAAAACAAAACAAAACAAAAAATGTGTTTTTTTTCTGCTCCAATATGAAAACACTTTCTGTTTGTTCCAAAAAAATTAGTTTTAGTGTAGTAAATTATCGTTTGATATATGTTATTGCTCCAAACACAGAAAACCAACCTTTAAAAAGAATTTCATAGGATTATATTTCACCTGTGTTAGTATATTGTTAATATTGTCTTTTATATATATATATAATTTATATTTTATATTATATATTATATATAATTATATATATATATAATTTCCTTTATTTACTAGTCCTTTACATTACTTCATAGTATTGTATGGAAAAAAGAAAAAATCAATGTCACATGATCCACATACTTTTACTATGAACTTCAAACACTAACAGAAGTTTAAGACAAGCTAGTTCTATCCTCTCTACACTTCTGTAATATCTCTCAGCATTCCTTGTGTTTATAGGACATGTTAATTATGCTTGTGAAAGTAGTAGGTGATTGATTATAAGGATCACTTCATCTAGCATTTTAATGAAGTAAGTCCTCAAGATCATAACAGGGCAAATGAAGTAACAAGTCAAGAAGAATAGCACATCCAACACAAAAACTAGAAAGTATGGGTGGGAAGAGAATCATTATCCAAGCTGAAATGAAGTAATGACAGCGTGAACTAGTCTAATGAGTAATACTATAGGAAATTTTGTTTCCTAGTTCTCAGTTTTGTGTGCACACGCAAACAATGGCACAAAAAGTACACATCACCAACAAGGTAATTCTCAGTATAAAGCAAAGAACAAAATAATTATATATTCCTACCTTAAGTAACAAAAAAAATTGCTGTAGCATTTTTTTAACCATAGCTTTGAATTATGT